CCGGCGAAGAAAATGGACGATTGCTCGCGGCTCAATTTCATAGGCCAGAGAGGTGGGCCGTTTGCTAGCATATGGAAATGGAAAGCTCCGTATATGTGTCCGTGTACATGTGCACTCTGAACGACGGGCGACAAGTAACAGAAGGAGGTAGATATATGACATTCCATCTCTTTCTCTCGTGCACACGTTATTCTTTTCACAGTGACCGTCACGGCAGCGATGCTGGGCACGCGGCTTCTACAGAAAGAGGAGCCAAGTACGCTTAACGCTTGAACTGTCAACATACATGTATAATGTACGCGCATGCATGGCTGCTTCTTGTGTACGTGCACTGTTAAATCCGTAATGTCAAATTAATATATTTGAGTAATTTAACTATTCCTATAAGTTGCCACTGCTCCTACTAAATATGTCGTTAATTTAACTAAGATAAGTAAGATAATGGAGTTAAATAATTTAACTTAAACACAATGTTTTGTGTTAAAATAGTAAATTTCGATACACATGATAATTAAAAGTAACTAAATATTATTGAAGTCAAGAAACTGATTTAAATTAGACTCTCAAATATTAAACAGTGTACGGGCCGCGTCTTCTGTTTGGCATCACACCGTGACCATCGCTGATTCGCCCGAGCGAGAGAAGAAGACAGAACGTCATACGTCTGTCTCCTTGTATTACCCGTTGCCCGACGTTCCGAGCACACACGTATTCGGATACACATACTATGGAGCGATGTCTTTCATGTTATCAAACGACCGAAGTCTCTGCGTTTTAAGCCTGTTCATTTAAACACAAATTCTCGCATTACATTATCAGCTGCTTGCAATATCCGACAGCGACATACGACGTAGAACCAGAGCTGGGAAATCTTGCCTGGGCGCACTGGCGTTTTACTCCTTCCACTTCTCACACAGAGACGCTTCTGTCCGTCCGTGTGACTACGCGCGCTCGGCCGAGTTCGGCGCACCGAGCGAGAGAGAGAATGTCATTCCCTCGCTCGGTGCGCCGAACTCGGCCGAGGGAACGTAGTCACACAGACAAACAGAAATATCTCGGTATGAGAAGTGGAAGGAGTAAAACGCCAGTGCGCCCGGGCAAGATTTCCCAGCTCTGATTCTACGTCGTATGTCGCTGTCGGATATTGCAAGCAGCTGATAATGTAATGCGAGAATTTGTGTTTAAATGAACAGGCTTAAAACGCAGAGACTTCGGTCGTTTGATAACATAGTGAAAGACATCGCTCCATATGTGCATCCGAATACGTGTGTGCTCGGAACGTCGGGCAACGGGTAATACAAGGAGACAGACGTATGACGTTCTGTCTTCTTCTCTCGCTCAGGCGAATCAGCGATGGTCACGGTGTGATACCAAACAGAAGACGCGGCCCGTACACTGTTTAATATTTGAGAGTCTAATTTAAATCAGTTTCTTGACTTCAATAATATTTAGTTACTTTTAATTATCATGTGTATCGAAATTTACTATTTTAACACAAAACATTGTGTTTAAGTTAAATTATTTAACTCCATTATCTTACTTATCTTAGTTAAATTAACGACATATTTAGTAGGAGCAGTGGCAACTTATAGGAATAGTTAAAATACTCAAATAGGAATAGTTAATACTTATAGGAATAGTTAAATTACTCAAATATATTAATTTGACATTACGGATTTAACAGTGCACATACACAAGAAGCAGCCATGCATGCGCGTACATTATACATGTATGTTGACAGTTCAAGCGCTAAGCGTACTTGGCTCTTCTTTCTGTACATAGAAGCCGCGTGCCCAGCATCGCTGCCGTGACGGTCACTGTGAAAAGAATAACGTGTGCACGAGAGAAAGAGATGGAACGTCATATATCTATCTCCTTTTGTTACTTGTCGCCCGACATTCAGAGCGCACACGTACACGGACGCATCTACGGAGCTTTCCATTTCCATATGCTAGCAAACGGCCCACCTCTCTGGCCTATGAAATTGACCCGCGAGCAATCGTCCATTTTCTTCGCCGGTCGCGGCGAGCCGTATGTCCCGCCCGTCGCGTCGCGCGCTCTAATTTGTCCAACTAATTTTATTAATATCTCGAAATTTTACGTGGTTGTTTGAAAAATGACCTCTACAATTTTTGTTCAGTTTTATCTGTTCTACTTATATTTTTCTTTTGGCATGCCTTATGCGGGACACCCTGTATATATATATACAGGGTGTCCCGAAGTCCCATGATGACCCTTGGTGAGAACGTAGAACGGATTGAGGTGAGCAAGAAAGTCCTGTGCCGTTTTGCGATATTCGCAATAGTTTTTGAGAAATTAATTATTTTGTCTCAACAAATCAGCGTACAGAAAGCGGCAGCGGAAAGAAAGATGCCTTCGGCCGACGTGCGACCGTGACATTCGCGAATCGTATCTCACCGCATCCCTTCGCCCATAGCTACGAGACATAGACTCGCTATGTCTCGTAGCTATGGGCGGAGGGATGCGGCGAGATACGATTCGCGAGTGTCACGGTCGCACGTCGGCCGAAGGCATCTTTCTTTCCGCTGCCGCTTTCTGTACGCTAATTTGTTGAGACAAAATAATTGATTTCTCAAAAACTATTGCGAATATCGCAAAATGGCACAGGACTTTCTTGCTCACTTCAATCCGTTTTATGTTCTCACCAAAGGTCATCATGGGACTTCG